GAAAGCCCATGCACAGAAATGAAGACCCAACACAGCCATAAATAAATAAATAAATAAATACATTGTGTATTATTAAAAAAAAAAAAAACAAAAAAAAAACACAGCACTTTCTGATCATGATGAGATAAAACCAGAAATTACATTTGGAAAAAAGTCCTTCCATCGAGAAATGAAAACACCTTGTATTAAACAACTCTTGTTGAAAAGAAAAATACAAACTGAGGCTTTAGAATTTCTTACAGATCATACTAATGACAATACTAAATGTCAGAAGCTATAGGCTTCATTTAAAGAAGTGATCAGAGGGCTTCCCTGGTGGTGCAGTGGTTGAGAGCCCGCCTGCCGATGCAGGGGACACGGGTTCGTGCCCTGGTCTGGGAAGATCCCACGTGCCGCGGAGCGGCTGGGCCCGTGAGCCATGGCCGCTGAGCCTGAGCGTCTGGAGCCTGTGCTCCGCAACAGGAGAGGCCACAGCAGTGAGAGGCCCGTGTACAGCAAAAAAAAAAAAGAAGTGATCAGAGTAAAAAGCATTGCACCAAAAACTCCTTCAACTAAAAAAAAAGAAGAAAATGAATTAAATTCTCACTTCCAAAAAAGCTAGAAAAAGTACAAAAAGGTAAATCAAAAGAAAGTACAAGTATGAAGCACAAAAATTAACGTAGTGGAGAAAAAAATACACCTAATTAATAAATCAAAATCCTGATTTATTGAAAAAATTTAAAAATCATTAACTTGTTCAGGAGAAAAAGAGAAAAGGGCACAAATAAAACTTCCAAAATGACAAGAGGAACAACCACTGAAACTGAAGACAGTTTTAAAGTTTAAAACCTTTTTGCAAATAAATTTGAAAACCTAGAAGAAACGGATAATTTACTAGGGAAATGCAGATTACCAAACGTATCTCCATTAGAGAGACAAAATTTATTTTTAAAAATATTTTAAAAAGGTTTTTTGATGCGGACTAATGTTTTAAAAGTCTTTAGTGAATTTGTTACAATATTGCTTCTGTTTTATGTTTTGGTTTTTTGGCCCCGAGGTATGTGGGATCTTAGCTCCCCAACCAGGGATCAAACCTGCACCCTTTGCATTGGAACGTAAAATCTCAACCACTGGACTGCAAGAGAAGTCCCTAGAGAGAGAAAATAAACAGACCAGTGTACATGGAAGAATTTGAGAAAGCTATTAAGGAACCACACCACAAAGTAAGCACCAGGGACAGACTGTTATGCATGGAAATTCTTCCAAACCTTCTAAGTCCAGATAGTTTCAGTGCTCTTTAAATTGTTGCAGAGCATCAAAAACGATGAGAAATTTCCAAATTGCTTTTTGAAAACAAATATAACATTGATACCTAAGTCTGATAATCATGGTACAAAAAGATAAAACTATAGAGTGATATCTCTTCTGAATATCAACACAAAAATACTAAATAAAATATTAGCAAATAGGCGCCAACACATTAAGAATGTGACACAGCATGACCAAGAGGGATAGAAAACAGAAATGAAAAATTGGTTCAATATTGGGAAATCTATTCATATCATTCACCATGATAATTCTCGTGGATGATTTTTTATTTTTTTATTTTATTTTTATTTATTTATTTTTATTATTATTATTTTTTAACATCTTTATTGGGGTATAATTGCTTTACAATGGTGTGTTAGTTTCTGCTTTATAACAGAGTGAGTCAGTTATACATATATATATGTTCCCATATCTCTTCCCTCTTTGTCTCCCTCCCTCCCACCCTCCCTATCCCACCCCTCCAGACAGCCACAAAGAACCGAGCCGGTTTCCCTGTGCCATGCGGCTGCTTCCCACTGGCTATCTACCTTACGTTTGTTAGTATATATATGTCCATGTCTCTCTCTCGCCCTAACACACCTCACCCTTCCCCCTCCCCATATCCTCAAGTCTGTTCTCCAGTAGGTCTCTGTCTTTATTCCTGTTTTACCCCTAGGTTCTTCATAACATTTTTTTTTTCTTAAATTCCATATATATGTGTTAGCATACGGTATTTGTCCTTCTCTTTCTGACTTACTTCACTCTGTATGACAGACTCTAGATCTATCCACCTCATTACAAATAGCTCAATTTCGTTTCTTTTTATGGCTGAGTAATATTCCATTGTATATATGTGCCACATCTTCTTTATCCATTCATCCGACGACGGGCACTTAGGTTGTTTCCATCTCCGGGCTATTGTAAATAGAGCTGCAATGAACATTTTGGTACATGACTCTTTCTGAATTCTGGTTTCCTCAGGGTATATACCTAGTAGTGGGATTGCTGGGTCATATGGTAGTTCTATTTGTAGTTTTTTAAGGAACCTCCATACTGTTCTCCATAGTGGCTGAACCAATTCACATTCCCACCAGCAGTGCAAGAGTGTTCCCTTTTCTCCACACCCTCTCCAGCATTTATTGTTTCTAGATTTTTTGATGATGGCCATTCTGACTGGTGTGAGATGATATCTCATTGTAGTTTTGATTTGCATTTCTCTAATGATTAATGATGTTGAGCATTCTTTCATGTGTTTGTTGGCAGTCTGTATATCTTCTTTGGAGAAATGTCTATTTAGGTCTTCTGCCCATTTTTGGATTGGGTTGTTTATTTTTTTGTTATTGAGCTGCATGAGCTGCCTGTAAATTTTAGAGATTAATCCTTTGTCAGTTGCTTCATTTGCAAATATTTTCTCCCATTCTGAGGGTTGTCTTTTGGTCTTGTTTATGGTTTCTTTAATGAAATTCAACAGCCATTCATGATAAAAACCCTCAAGAAAATAGTGATTGGGGGATACTTGCTTAACACGATTACACACACGCGCGCGTGTGCACACACACACGCAAATACATGTACGACTGTAGTTCAGCAGCTATCTCACTTACCTAATGGGAAACACTGAAGGCATATCCAGGAAGAAAGCGAGCATACCCACCCACTACTCATCAACATTATAATGGAGGTTTTAGCAAGTGCAATTTGACAAGAGCAATCAATTATGGGCATAAGAATAAGTGAAGGAGAAGTGATTCACTGTGGTACCTCCGTAAGATGGAATACTAGTCAGCAATAAAGGGGAGCAAGCTCTTGGTACACACAACTTGAATGATTCTCAAAATCATTATGCTAAGTGAACGAAGCCAGTCTCAAAAGGGACTTTGTTTTACTTATCTCTAGATTCTCAGTGCTCTCAGGATATGTCACATGGGCTTCTCATTTCCTAACTGCTACTCGAGAGCAAAACCTTTTTCTTTGTCTCACCTACAGCATTAACCCGGAGGCAAGGGCAAGGATAATTGAATGCCTTTACCTAGAAAATAACCACTGACGTTAGAATTTTCTTCGTATTAAGCCTGTATTTACTTTTTCTTGGGAGGTGTATGTGGTTCTTTGGTTAAATATTTGTTAATAGAAGGTTGTAAGACAATAGCACATTAAATTCATATCTCAGAATTTTGACTAAAACGCCAATGATGAAAACAGTAGAGACAGAGATCACCCACCTGCTCCAGAGTGAAACCAAATCTCTCTACTCAGAGTGACGACCTCTAAAGGAGTCATGTGCTTCTTTGCACGGTGCTTCTCATATGCTTGAGCCTTTGCTAACTTTTATTAAGTGTACGGTCTAAACTCCTTTGTGTTTGGGGGAAATCATGGAGAGACATATGCCCTAGTTTGAGCAAAATGGGTTAGGACATGGAGAAGACGATTATAAGGTGACAGAGCAAGGAGAGTTGGCGTAGGTCACATATGACCACCAGAACACGTTGGTAGAGCATGGAAGAGTGCTTTGAGGAAGCCTAGAAATTATTAGGTGAAGAGTACTCAGTGGAAGAGTAGAAAGGGGATAGGGACTTAGCTATTTTTATCCATATATTAAAAAGAGTTGTTGCATCAGGAAAGCCACAAAGGTCTCAGAAACGTAGGTCACGTGTAATTTCTATCAACACATAATGAATGAAACCAAGGGCAATGTAGTCTCTGACTGTCAGGGGTGTTGAGAATGTGGCTCAAACCTTCCAGGGAAAAGGAGAAAGGGAGAAGTCTAGAGGGTAGACCAAGACTACTTCCAAAATCATCTTGAACTTTTACAAAAGACTATAATTCATCCCTGTGCTCTTAGAAGAAATAGTGGTAGTATTTTCCAAAAAAAAAAAAAAATCCATTTTGTACAAATATGAGAGAACAGAAAAGTTTTATTATAATAACAATAAGCAAACAATTCAACTGGGTGGAACAGCAGTTAGTTTCCCAAGAAAAGGAGAGAACTGGTTATTCAGCAAATTGGTTGGTGTTGGTCAAAGAGTTTCTACAGATACATCTGAATATACCAAACATTGTTCTCTTATCTGTTGAATCTCCGTCTTTCACTCTTTCTCGCATTTCACATAGTTGAGTTCTGAAAGATCTATCTTCCAGACAACTCTTTGTTCGTCAATGGGCAGATGATAAGGAACAATTTAAGTCCTTCTGTAAAATTGTAAGTAAACAAATTTCCATTCATCTACAAAGAATTCTATAAACATCTCCATCTATAAGCTTAACTAATGCAAAGAACTGATCTTTCTCATAAACTGTAAGGTTAAGATGATCACTGTGATCCTGAGGGTAAAATAAGCGAGAGGAAACCACAAGGGGAGATTACTTACCAATCTAGAAAGAATCTAGAGGAGAAACATTTACTAGGGATAAACAGAGAAAGCTTGGGGTCATTTTCTTTGGTCTCCTGCATTCCCTCTCTCTGTGTCTCTGAGAAAGAATTCACAACTAGGGAGCATCAATACGTTGTGCTTTGGAGTTTCACAGATTGAGAGTTTGTCCCTCCTCTGTTAAATCAATCGACATATACCAATTGCCAGCAGCGAACTTTACTCTCCTTAGTCCTGAGAGTCTGAGAGACAGAAAAACGAGAATGCTCTGACTGACATGGGGCAGGGCCAGCTGAAAATATGCAGGAAGTATAGACACATTTTCATGAAGTTGGATCTTAATGTTTAATCCTCAAACAGAGAGAAAACAAAAGAAACAATCTTCAACAGGCCTAAGATGAATTCAACTATCCCGCTCTGATTCTCAACTACGTCTCTGGCATTTTGCTGCCTTGTAGCACAGAGAGCCTCCCTTTCTGCCAATTCCCTCCTCATTTGCATCACTTGCTTTTGCAGCTCTAGTTCATCCTCCAGCATTCTGATTTTCTCTTCATACTCCTGTCTTATCTGCGCTTTCTGTGTCTCTAGCTCTGCTCTGTAATTTTCTTGTATCACTTGGATTTGTTTCTGTATCTCCTCCTCGGCCTTTTGATACATGTTATTCGTGAAGCAACTGCCTTTGCACTCTGCGACCACGCGCTGAACCAGGACCAGCAGCTGCTGCCTCTGGTTCTCCTGCTCGGCTCCCGTCGCCCTGTTGTTGAACACACAGTAGCGATCTCCGAACTTGTCCATCAGCTCTTGAATGGCTTTTGGAGCTTCCTTTAAGCAATCACGGAAATCAGTGCCTTCCAAGTCATCTTTCCGGGTGAATAAGAGAATCATGTGTCTCCTAGCTCTCTCTCCAAACATTTTCAGGATCTTTTCCGTGGCTCTGCGGTCTTCCAGCGTGTACCGGCCCAGTGGGGTGACAAAGAGGAGAGCATGAGGCCCTGGGGAGGTCAGGGCCATGCAGCGAGCAATCTCCTTGCAAGTGTCAGCATCCTGTAGCTCTGTGTCAAAGATGCCTGGCGTATCCACAACGAGGATTTCCCTCCCGTTCCAGGTGCTGTATCCTTTCGTACAGGACCTGGTGATGGATACTGCAGAAAAGCCAGAAGGAAATATTTTCTTTCCGAGGATGCTGTTTCCTGTTGCACTTTTTCCTGCCCCAGTCTTACCCACTAAGATAAGCCTCAGCTGTGAACCTCTGGGCTCCTGGTTTCCAAGCCCTGGCACAACAGGAAACAAAAGTCATAGTGTTAGAAGGAACTTCAACTGTCTCCCCTGCAAGGCTCCTGCCCACTGGTGCCTTTCTCTGCTGCCTGCTAGGGTCCTCCGCACTCAAGGGATGTCTATAGAAAGCCCTCTGGGCTCCTGTTCCTCTTGCAGTATTTGGGGACTGCCCAGGTACTTTTCAGCACCCCCCTGAGCTTCTTACTGTGATCTTGTGTAGGTAAGTAGCCCACAGAGGAGGAAACAAAATGGTTAAGAAGAGAACTCTGAGCTGCTACTGGTAGCTGTTCTTCATAAGATAACATAGGAAGTAACATGAAATTGGCATTGCATATTTTACTTCCTAGGAAAGTTCGAAGTTAATAATCAGAGCAGCAGAGCACAGCAACTGAAACCTTAAGTTACATACCAAGTAATCTGATAGCTCT